CAATAACTTTCTCAACCAATACGTCGATAGCATCAAACACTTGACACATATGGACACCAATGCTATACTAACCACCAAACAGGACCTCACAAACAGACCCTGTTATAGACGATTTGTGGACACTTTCAATCAAAAGTGTTTTAATATAAATCAGGTATTCATTGACACAATAGTCACTCAATTATTTCACATTTAGATTTAGTTAACAATTGTTTGTGTCTAATGATAATCTATAGCACACGTATGCGTTCAACAAATTGAATACATTTGTCAATATATGCCAACAATTGACTGATTCAAATGATGTTACCATTGCTGTTGAGCACCTGGAGATGTCCTGTGCCAAATTGGGAACTAAGCAGGCTCATTTTGAGGCCATTCTCTAATTTAAATACTCTGTAAATTTATAATGTAAATTACTTTAACGTAATTGTAATTATTAAATAAAAATTTGATTTAACTTAAATATCGTTGGTTTAAATTCCTTTGTATAAATTGATATAAATTAAACATTTCTATTTTAAACAGGTATGCGGTATACCTCATCTATGATGGTACAGTAATATAATAATCTAAAGAATCAATAATAAATGCTATTTGAATTAATTAGTTTATAAATTTTTAACTAATTTTTTATTGGAATTTCCCATTTAATGAACACAATTATTACAATATTATTTTTAATATCAAACATTTTCCTTTAGAAACGGATACCTTCAAACATTTATCAAACATTTTCCTTTAGTGTTATGCACTATTGATAAAACATAAAATTATTAGTATTTCAATATTGATATTGTGTTTAAGCATATAGTAAAGTTAGTAATTTATATTTATTAATAAATTGTTTATATCAAAGGATTCTTGAATAATTAATAAAATGAAGTGTGCACTTGTAATTATATTTATTTCTGGATTAATATGCTGTTAGTATAATAATTAAATTGAAATCTTATAAAATAAATTATAAATAAATAAATAGTATGAATTTTTTTAAAAGTAAATAGAGTAATTTTAAAAATATAATAAGTTATGTTAATTAATAGTATATAATATTACAAACTTTGTCAATACCTGTAGCCATAGGGGGTCAGCGTCTCCACCGCCACGTCCTAATGGGTCGCTTACAGCCTTTGATACGCGAATATGAGGGTCATTACCATCGACACCGGTACTCAAACGCCCGGTTAGCCGCTAGACTGGACCAGGAATTACGGCTAATACGCGAACTGGAAAGGGAACTATTGTTGGCTGAGGACATACTCGAAGCTAAACAGTTCGGACATTATGAGCGCCGGTATGATAGACACTACAATCGACTCCAGGATATTCTTGTTGATTAAATTATAAAATGTTTTATTTAATTTGTTTCGATTTTAGTTGTTATTTTCAATAGTATTTGATTTGTTATAGAAAGTTTAATCTGTTAAAGATTTTAATATAATGTACATTCGCATTAACATTTTATGAATTATAATTTTATTTTGAATACTGCTAAACACCTGAATTAGTGAAGTAATTGCATACTGTTACAATTATGCAATAATTTTATAAAAACATTATTAGTGAGTATATGGTAT